TCCAAACATCCAATACAAATTTTTTTGGTTTTTCAAGACAGGGTTTCTCAGTGGCTTTGGAGGCTGTCCTGGAACTCGCTTGGTAGTTCAGGCTGGTCTCGAACTCACAGAGATCCGCCTGCCTCTGCCTCCTGAGTGCTGGGATTAAAGGCGTGGGCCAGCAACGCCCGGCCCAATACAAAATTTGAATGCGACTTTGACATTGTTCTTGAAACATCTGCCTCAATTATCACATGCTGGTGACACTTCCTCAGGCAAAATATCCAATTACCCACACATTCCTACATTTGCCTTAACATTTGAGGGAGGTCCAACATCCAGTAGGAAAGATCAATGGGACATTGACAGTCCTCTTGGTATATCTGCGTCGGTAGATATTCCATTAATCTCAGGACAGACACAGGATACTAGCAATCTCCAAACACAGTCCACAACTGAGGAGCTGCTCTGAATTATGTGTCATCATCAGAGAGGTCAATGGATCCATCTTGTTCTTGCCTTCGAACTTGTCTGTCATTGCAGTTCACTCAAGGGAATATAACAGTACTCATTCCTATAGATTGGACATACACATTTATACCCTCTCTGGAGGAAGACTTCACTAATTTTACTTCTTAAAAAAGGGGACCCATGTGTTCCACCACGTGCCCTCACTAGAGGAATACATCATGGTTTCTCCTTCTTACAAATTGAGACCCATTCCATCCACCTGAAGAAGAAGCAGATGGACACAGGAATCCATTGCCCTTGCAAGCCTCAGTAGAATGCAAACAAATAACTATGGCCTAGATTTGCAAGCCTGTGACCCACAAAATCACTGAGCATCCTTAAGAGCTGAAAGATGCCTTACCACTAACATAACTGATGAATGGGACTTTGATTTTATCATGGTGATGTCTGAGTGTCCACAAATTTCTTTATCCTCAGAAGATGACAAAGTTATTTCCAGTGTTTCTGGAGGAGAATTTTTAATATCCACATGTGGTTGGAGAAATTCTTACTGATGCATTCCCTGCACAGGGGACTGTGGACCAAATTAGTTTTGTTCCCAATTCTTCTCATCCTTTGCAGTTCATTCAAGGACATATAACACTATCCATTACTGCAGAATGGACATATACACATATTCCCTCCTCAAGGAAGTAATCAGCAATTCCCCTACATAGTGATCCTCAGCAGTGTCCTCACACAAAACTCATATTACATGTATGTCATTGACCAAGTGCTGCATTTTTCTGGGTCTCTGGAACTCCCCTTATCTAAACCAAAGTCACAGGGAAAATCGAGATATATTGGACCTTCACTAATATCATTCATACAAGTGGAAGAATCTTTAGACAGCATTGCACCTAAAAATTTCACTGTGGACTCTTGTTTCTCTTCATCCAGTACTCCTGCGATTTTGTCATTCCATAATGACATCTCCCACTGTTCGTACCTGTATACAGGACTTTGATACCGATTCCTTCCTAGGCGTGGGTACTTAATCCGTCTGCCGGTATGAAAGGGAGCCAAATATATCTTATGTGAAAGGCCAACAGAAACAGATGGCCACAGAACATGGAGCACTCAGTATTGCACATGTAGTTCCTCATGATGGAGTCCAGCAAATCTCTGATCCATAGGAACATAATTCTTCCTTATTTTCCAGTTGAGACCTCACTCCCAGCTTTTGGTTTCTCTAAGGTGCTCTATACGATGTAGGAAGACAGACAGCACTTTTGCAGATAACCTTTGTGCATGGAGGCTTCACATCATCAAATTCTTTCAAAATGTATTCATTCTGCAATGTCTTTTTCCAGAAGTCTCCTCACTACTTTACTTTTCCAAAATTTCCTCATACTACCACTCTAGAGACTTGCACATCAACATTATTTTTCCTCTCTTCAGATCAGTTACACTGACTTCCCTGCAGAAAACTTACCAGAAATTTTCACAACAAAAGAAAGGATTCTTTTATATTCCCTAGTCCCATGAAGGATAAATCAGGAGATACTCTTGTTGTATATGTCTCCTTTTAAATGGCATACAGGGCATGGGAACACTCTTATTCATTCTCAGGCAGTCTGGGCACCATCCACGTTTGCCCCCAACTCTAGGGGCTCTTATGTTTATTGAATAAGTTCTTTTCCTTCCTATGCACTGGATCTTTGAGACATCACTGTAAGTATATGGTTCCAGGGAAAGGTTACATCGGAACATACATTTTATTTACATTTTCCCCTCCCAAATCTTCACTCGTTCTTTACTATTTAATCTATTTTCTGTAGAATATTCTCTTCCTTTTAATCAGTTTCCTGAAATGTCTTCATCTACACTATTTCATATCAATGTTTTTCATGTGTTTAATAGGCTTGTAAGCTTGTAATATTTTCTACGTTTTTTTGCTCCCATACACAAATATCAGATTGATCTGTAACTTTCCTAGAACTGTTTTCTTATCACATATGTGAAAACTAGAACATGTATCCTGTACACAAAGGACACAGGGCTATTCATTTGACTTCTACCTGTAGTTTTCAGGATGGTGGTTTTCTTTCAAAGGTTTTCTGACACGTTTGGCATTTGACCAGGAAAATTTAGGATATTTTCTTCCCACTCAGCGCTTTGTGGAAAATTAACAACTACTTCATCGACTTTCTCCATAAAGTTAATCTCTTCCCAAAAGACACAAAACTTTTCATTTCCTAGCCAGGCTTTCTATATATATCCCTCTCTTTGTATGTAACACACACACACACACACACACACACACACACACACACACACATATATATATATGTGTGCCTAAACATCATACTATAATTTTGACTCTCTTGCCTAAGTATTTTATGTCCCATGATATTTGAATAATGATGTTTGTACTACTTTTGTTAGTACAAATATTCCCTATCGGTTCTTCATGTTCTAAGACATTTACACTTGAAGTAAGGTCTCAGAACTTCATATGCAGTAGAAAACAGGTTTGTATATTCCCCTCCAGAAAAGTAGGTGTAGAATGTCCCTCTGTTCTCAACTTGGACTAAGAAGTTCCTTCTCAAATCAGAGGATGTTATATATATTACTGAGTGCAAACAGGACTGTAAAATCATGCCTCCTTACCATTGGTAACAAGAAGAAATGAAATCCCATGCTTCTGCTTCTCAATATTTCTCTTTCAGTTAAAAGAGGGAAAAGGTAAGACCAAACGAGAAGTCATCAAACCTAAACTACTACACAAAGGTAGGCTTGGTAATTCTCATATGTGTAAATTAAAGTATTTCTGCTACCCAATTGAGCATAGTATCAGATTTTCATTAGTTAACTAAGAGTGACATGCAGGAGTCCATATACAATGAGGGGAATTCAGACATTCACTACCAGTACTGTATTTTTGAGAGATAACTTCCTATGAGAAGAAAGTTAAAGAGAATACCATGTGTATACTTATGAATATCTACAATCGTAACTGGTGTTTAAAACTAACCTCTATGACCCAAAATTATTATGAAAACTTCTTGAAATTCATGCTAACACTAGACCTATCCTGTTTCCATGGAGAACTGACAGTTATGGAGACCATATCCCTCTTTGCTTGGTGGCACTTAAATGTTCCATTTTGAAAAGGAAATTATGGGAACACTAATTTGAAGCCACATTAAAAAAATTCAGAAAATCTACCTTGACAGCCAGGCCATTTACTGACAATTTTTCATCAGAAGTAGGATGTTTCTGTTCTTCATGATAACATTTTTCAAGTTATTTAAAAGTTTGAGAACCCAGATCCAAGAAATTACATCTAAACTTGGAGAAGAACGTGAAGATTTCTCTCATGCCTTCAGTGGAGTTCCCAGTGACAGAGGCTTCCAATACTTTCTGAAGAATTCAAATATGACAAGAATTTTCCTGGATTGTGCTTTTCCTTACAAGGTAATGTATGGAATAGTGAATTAAAACAACATCATTGGCCACACTCTCTCCTCTAAAATTTTGTCTGAGTTGATTAACTCTATGAATGATCGAAGTGAGAACTTCTCAATTTGACAAAACGAGATCTAGTATCTCCCTTTTGTGAGCATGAGCACATTGCTTTGCATACTTACTGAGTTGTTCACTGTAGTTGTAGATAACAGAGAAAAAAGACAGAAAACAAAGCCTGGAATCTACCTACTGCTTGCATTTCAGTCAGTAGAAACTGTGTGATCTCAACATTGCAGCTCAGATATGGTAGGTTTGCTGAACACAAAACTTGCTGTATAATTTATCTGGAAAACAGACAGACAAGCTTTTCAAGAAAACTAAGACTGTTGACATATCTCTTGCAGGACTCAAGAGATATGGATAATCAAAATTACATTGGAGATTGTAAATTGAAGAGAATGTTGTAGGACTATACTTGATTGTATTGTACAAGGTAAGGAAATGTCTGCTGAAAATGTATTAGTGTTTCCTATATGGCCAAAGGAGTATATATTCTCCATTGTAAAAGAGAGTGCCTGATATTCAAGTGTCAGCTCCTCCTCAGAAATCCTATATATTTATATTACACATTCTTCTATCTATGAAAAACATATCATCAGAATTTCTTCCAAGCTCAAAGTGTACATAGACACTCAGTTATAAAAATATTACATGGTTACTTCAAAACTAAACTATTGCAGCTCTTCTGAGCTCTAATGTAAATATCTGATGTTGAGGATATGTGATATGAGATCATTCTGGGAAGCTTGGCTCACACTTCAAGAACTGCTGTCATAGGAAAAAAAGAAACTTTGAATCTGATATTGAATTTCAGATTTCAGAAACATCCTATTATTAATAATATAGACTGTGATAGTCTTTTGTCAGTAGGATCCTGGGATCTCCTTTTTCTTCTGTACTATGCACAACATGTTCTCTAACGGAGTAAAAGTCCGTTGGTCCTTTGTTTTATGATTAAAATAGTATATCTATGGGAGTATTACCCTTGGAATATTGTCTAGTATAGATATCCCAGAGTTTAGTATTTGCAAATAGAGTCTAGAATCCATGTCATCTATCTTTAAGTCTGTACTCCCAAAGATATTTAAACTTTTATTTTGTCTTCCCTGGCACTCCTTTTTATCCAACTGTGTAAATAGTTATACTACTCAGTAATAGGGACTACTGTAAAGAAAACCCTATGCTCATTCATACATAGAAAAAATGTTGCAAACTTCTAGAATACACCACACATTAGGTAGCTTATAATGTATCTCTTGCAAATCAGTGTGCTCCATTATATTCTATATTATCTAAGTTGGTGTGTCATAATTGAATACTTCAAAATATTCTGTATGGCCAAGTGAGTAACTCAGTGCTACCCCTCTGATCTGATCTTTTTGCTGATTTTGATGTATATGGTGACTTAATATTGCACATGCGTGTCTCCCCAGGTGTGTTAGTGTCCACTTTAACACCGATAACACTTGGGACAACACTACTTGTTTGAAACATAGCAGGGATTATTATACAGACAGGTATTCATCTGCATAGAACCTAGTAATTGGACTTTAAATTCTGCCTCCAATGGTTGAGCTAAGAAAAGTCTTGAAGAAGAACCACTGATCATAATACCAAATATCCTTCAGAAAACATTTTGTATTATTTAGATTCTCAAAGTTTTAACTCAAGGTATGCCTAGAGGCATGAAGAGAATCTAATGAAGCAGAGCCCAAATCATCTCCCACTAACCAAGGTTGTCTAGGATTTTCACCACTGTCAATTGTGAATTGCATCTTTACATACTGAAAAAATGTGCCTAGGTACTTTCCTCTCCTTAATACATAGATTCATAAATATTACGTTACCCAGATTATTCTCATCAGTTTTGCTCTGCCAAAGGAGATTCAGAACATACTTTATAAAAGTGTCACCATAAATACCTGTTTGAAATAATCAATCTGCTGTCCATATGTTAGTCAGAGAGAACCTCGGGTGCTTTCTTCCTTTACATTATATATTGACTATCTCTACGAGCAAAAATTAAATTGCTATCTTTTTCAAACTGCAAATGGGATGTAATCTTTATGTCAAATATGATATTAGACATGCTTATCTTACTAATATGATTTTTTTCTTTCCCATTGGACATTATGAATCCTTTGAATCTCCCCTCAGTCTACTAAGGTGTGTTGGAAAAACACAGTTATTAATAACTGAAACTCATTATCAACTCTGTGTGCCATTAAAGATCCTTGTACTCATAGAATCCTTTAAAGTAAATAATCAAAAATAGTTAGAGTCAACACTTTGTTCCAATCCATTTCGCTAAGGTGAAGCTTGAAAATCCACAGAGAAAGCAAGTTTTTTAGGCTTCTCTTAGACAAATGCTTAGAAGCAAAACAGGGATACTATGGGATCTATAAGGACAAGAATATTACTAATTCGAATCAAAATTAGGAAGCACAGAAGAGGAGGTAATGTATTTGGATATGGAATGTGGTGAGTCAAATAATTCCCCTTTCCTTATCACATTAAAATTTGACTTGGATTACTCTATAATTCTCTACAATGTCTTAGTACTTTATTTTTTATGCTCCCTGACACATTTCTTTTATGATGATTTTTTCAAGAGTCTTTTATGTCTGACATAATGCAGTATACATCTGTCTCCTCAAACACATTTGGGAATGCTCAGTCATTCTTCCTGTGTTTATTGTACAATGTGGAATTCAGTTCTCCCCACTGGATTCCACTCTAGTTATTGTTCACCAACTTCAATCTCACTGAACATATGGAGGACAAGAGGCTACTGCCAACAATGAAGTACCAAGAAATATTGCAATTCCTTTCCTACACATATTTGGTTGCTTGAACATAGAACTATGAAGGAAGTTTAGTTGTCACAAGAGCACCAGCTTTTCAAAAACACTAAAATTACTACTTGTTATCTTTGAAATTTCGTAAAAGTCATAGATATCCAAATCTGAGAAGAACTGTTGTTTGAAGAGGCAATTCTGTGACACTTCTCTACTGAAAACTTCATAGGAAGAAATTCGATATTTCCTAAACTTATATGAAATTTTCTTCCAGATTCGAAATATTTGTTCCTCATCAAAGACAATTATAGTAGCTAACTTACACTTGTAGTTGATCATTAGATACCTTTATTAAAATTATTTTCACTGTCTGCTGGATTGATGAAGGGGGAATCAGGTCTTGCTCTTTCATCCAGGACACCATTCAGCTCTTCTCCGTTTCATCTTCCTGATTGCACACTGTTATGTTGAATAAGGTGGGACTTATGACTTACTCTCTATTATGAAATGGTCCTGAGAACTTCATCTTCCTACTTTAAGGGAACAATTGCTTATCTATAAGCACAATATGGGCCTTAAAGCACTTTCTCCACAAAGAGTGTCAGAGAAAATCGTGCTCCACGAAGCTGGGGGCTTAATTATTTCACATTTTAAGAAGGGGGACACTCCTCCATTGTTGGTGGGAGTGCCAACTGGTTCAGCCACTTTGGAAATCAGTATGGAGATTCCTCAGAAAAATGGAAATAAACCTACCACAAGACCCAGCAACTCCACTCTTAGGCATATATCCAAAAGATGCCCATTCATACAACAAAGATGTCTGTTCCACTATGTACATAGCAGGTTTATTTGTAATAGCCAGAACTTGGAAGAAACCTAGATGTCCCTCAACCAAAGAGTGGATAGAGAAAATGTGGTACTTTTACACAATGGAGTACTATTCAGGAGAAAAAACAATGCCATCATGAGATTCACAGGCAAATGGATGACACTAGAAGAAACCATCCTGAGTGAGGTAACCCAGTCACAAGAAGAGAAACATGGCATGTACTCTCTCATATATATGGATTTTAGACATAGATCTCGGGAGTGCCATCCTACAATCCTATGGCCAGAGAGTCTCGGGAACAGAAACTTCATTTAGTGGCTGATCGGAGAATAGGCAGACTCCCTCGGTTAAGTACTGAGCTGAACTCAAGAAAGCCAGTAACACAGAGGAAGGACTGATGATCAAAGGGATTAAGTCTGGGCTGGTTTAACCCCCAGAAACAGCTGACCAGACAAAGGTTAACTCTTGAATCCCAGGCATCAGCCTGGGAATCCAGCATGGGACTGATCAAGACCCCCTGAATCTGGGTGTCAGTGAGGAGGCCATGGTAATCTATTGAGCCTTGGGCAGCAGATCAGTACCCATCCCAAGTATACACAAGGACTTTGGACTCCCATAGAACAATGTGAGGTACACTATCACCCTGAACACTTGGGGAAGGGTCTATGTCCTGCCCTATATTAAATGACAGACTATGGACACCCCCATGGAGGGCCTCACCCTCCCTGGTGGAATGAGGGGACAACAGGGAGGATGGGGGGAGGGCACGGGAGGAGGGAGGGAAAGGGAGAGGGACCTGGAACTGACTTTTGAAGCAACCTTGTTTCTTATCTAAATTTAAACTGTAAAATAAAAATAAGAAGTTCTATATCTGCTTTCCCTTGTATCAAGTTGCCTGACACATATTTCTTTGAATAGCTTGCACAGCAAGGTAGATTCATAATTTCTTGTTTTTCATGAGGATACCTCATACCTACTCCCTCTGACCAAGTGGCTCTACACATTTTCTTCTAACACATAGCAACTGGAAGTTCACTTCAAATGCCCGAATCTTCTTAGAAGAATTGTGAGACTGATGTCCTACCTGACATGAATATTGGAAGGTGTTTATATTATAACATTTATGTTCTTTTGGAATCTTGTGGAATACCTTGATCTTGCTCTACATCATAAGGTACCCTGACACATTTTTTGAAAATGTATCCAGAACCTCTACTATCTCCCCCTAGATTAATTTAACAATGTAGTTCCCTACTAAAAATGACCGTATATATACTTGTCTTCATAAGAAATTAAGAGTCCTCTCAAAAGCACAATTTAGTCTCATAAATTCTGTAGCAAATAGACTTTGTCTAATATGGTGTCATTTTAATTCAAGGAATAGTATTTTGCTGTATTTTATTTTAATACTGAATGAACTTCAGATGAAAGTTTTTTGAAAAGAAAATGCCTTTACTTGCCATCTGATTCAGGATCATCAGCTTGTTCTCACCTACTTCTGAAGATAAATTCATTCGTTCCACCAAAATTTATACTCAGATCACTGTATCCTATTGCACCAGGGCCCATGATTATCAAGGTTAGCTCAGACCTGACTTTCATTGTCTTATGGTAGAAAAGCTGGTGTGGACACCATCATTCATACATATGTTTAAACAGCTGAATATAAATGTTATTAAGTGTTCCTTCTGACAATGACATATCTGAACTTTTCCTATCTTTCATGCAGACATGAACCGTTCCTGAATTTTCTATTTATTCTGATGATCTTTCTCCTCTGACATCCGGATCCCAAGACCTCCCTCTCTGAGGATGCGAGGTATTGAGCCACTACATATGGGGATTCCAAACTGCCTCCTCCTATCATTCCTGTATATAGCAAACATTTTCAGTCTAATGGCACCCCTAATCACAACCATTTCCCAAGAAAATTCAGACCTTTATCATGTGTTGTTCTACATGTCAATCTCTATCCGAGGTTACCTTTTTTTTCTTCTCATCAAGGAGATCTCAGATGTTATCAGCCTGCTGTGACCAAAGGAGAAAAAGATATTATACTTCTCATCAAAATATCATTGTTCTGTTCTAATCTGTGGCACCAGAAACTAATGTGATCACCTAATGACTGGATCCCAAATCTAAAGCTTTCCATCAAGTTTTCAAATAAGGAACAATCCCATCATTTTAAACTCAGAGCAAAATATCCAAAAAGAACATTAAAGAGACAGTTATGCTGTGGACACAAACATTGTTGCCTAAACTCCCTAGGATGACAAGATAATATGGACATGACTTTGTTGTTGTTTTTAATATTGTTATATTCTACTAGATTCTGCATTTGTTTAAGTTTAGACAATAATTAGTTGAAAATTTTTGTTATTCATTTCCCACCATTAAATATCAGCAACCATATTGATAGATTTTAATTTTTAATGCAAATTGGAAACAATTGTTTTTTTATATTACAATCTCAGTTCACTCCTGCACCCATCTTGACATTCTCCTGTCATCTACCCCTTAACAACGAATCCACTCCTTAGAATGAATGAGGACTTCCATAGGGTATCTTCAAGTCTTTCATGTTAATTTTGGCAGAATCCAGAACTCCCCTGCTGTGTCTATGCCAAGAGTGTATCCCTCTATATTGAAAGGGGTTCAAAAACCCATTTCATGCAACATAAATAAATACTGGTTCCACTTCCAATGGCCCCATTAGCTGCACAAGTCTCCAAACTGACACTCATGTTTAGGGATGCTCTTTTCTTGTTGTGCAGATTCCCTGTCAGTCTGTAATCTGTGAGTTCACCCTTACTCAGATCTTCTGTTTCTCTGTGTTTCTCCAAAATGGTCTTGGATACCTTGCTCAGCATTCTTCCCTCTGCAAAATTGGAGAAAAGGAGTTGGGCTCAGTGCTTTCCTGTCACTCTCTGCTTCTCTTTCCATCAGCTAATGGATGAATCCAATGCTGGCCTTAAAGGTAATTATCAATCTTATTATAGGGAAAGTGTATTTTAGTTAACCTCTAAACTATTTCTTAGATTTTAGTTGGAGTCATCCTTGTAAATTCCAGGGAATTCCCATAGTGCCTGTATTCTTTTTAAATTCCATAATGGCTTTCTCTATAAAGTTAACACTTTCTTTGTTCTCCTTCTGTGTCCTCCCCCAACTTTTTCTTACTGATCCCTCAGGTTCTCTTACCACTTTCCTTACTAGGCTTCTTTTTCTCCAACATTCCTCTTCCCTCCTGACCTTCTCAAATTTACACAAGATGTCTTGTCCCTATCCTTTTCTCAGGATAATCTTGTATGTGTCTTCATTTCTAACTTCACTGAGTTCTTAGACTCTAGGGTAGTTAGCCTTTTTTTCTATGTCTAATAGCCACATATGAGTTAGTACATACCATATTTTTGTTTATGTGTCTGGGATACCTCACTCAGCATCTGTTCTTCTTGTTTAATCCTTAACCTACATTTTTCAACTTGTTTTGGTTTTTACTGCAGAGAAGTCTTCCGATGTTTGTCTGACTGCATTTTCTTCTTCCATTCTTCAACTGATGGGCATCAAGTTTACCTAAGGATTCTTGTTATTACACATTGTTGTACTATTAACAATTTTGAACACATTTCCTTGTTGCATGAATATTCAGCATTTAGATATATGCATAATTATTGAATTCCTGGATCTTGAGGTAGACTTATTCACTTTTCTTTTGTGTGAAAATTCCATACTAATGTCTAAGTGACAGTACAAGATTCCATTCCTACCAGCAATGATGTGGTATTTCACTTTCTCGACATCTTCTCCAGTATATGCTGTCACTGGTGATTTTTATTTTCCCATCATGACAGGCAATGATGATAACTCAGAGATATATTGATCTGCATTGCCTTGGTGCATAAGGATGTTGAGCAATTTTTAAGAGCTTTTGACCATTAGCCATTTCTCTGTTCACAGTTTTCTTTCAATTGCCAAAGAATTTTATTAACTTTATGTTCAAATAATGTCCAATAAGGCTGATTGTCAGTTAAATTTTGGATAAACAAATAAAATATTAATTTATGTATGTGATATTTTCTGTTTCAGCTTTTATGAACAGCATGGAATTAAAAGTATTTCATAATGTTTTTTAAGTCATAAGAAATGTTACTCATTAAAACAATAACAGATTTTCAATGGTTGTGGTTATGTTGTATATTTTCTTTAAATTTCACATCATGTTCAATCTGACATATGTCTGTAATTTGTTACAGAAACTATTTTCTGTCACTAAACTTGTGTCAGAAGGAAATATAGATGGAACTTATAATCTTGCAAATCTCTAAAGTTTGTCTTTCTCAAAATTTGTTAGCCAAAGGTAAATTTGCGTCTTGATTGTGTTTTAATACTAGTTTTTGTTGTGTGGATTTTGATCACATTTGCATCTCAGAATACTCCTTTTTGATCTGCTTTCTATTTTCTATTAAAGTGTGACTTTACCACTCAATCTCTCTGTCCCTAACTACACACACACTAAAACACACAAACACACTAAAACACACACACACATAGTTTTAACCCTGCAATTCCTTGCACAAATATGTATTCCCAAATTCATGTCAGAAAAATTAAAAAT